TAGAATCTTTGATTTCTTTCAGCACACATGGAATCTGTTTTTTGGCTGAATTGATGGATCACTGTAGAAAAGGGCAAATTCTGGGATGGTACAGCTGTTTTTTTCAATATCCGACCTCTACCTAGGCTGTACTCTCAGCTGTAAATAATAAAAACAGTTAATATTTTCAAACAAAATATTTTAAAAATAGATAGGTACTTAATCAATGCCTAAGAGTAGGCCTAAAAGGAAGCTAGGGCACAAAAATATCCATTTTGCTTGTTTACCTTAACACAAACTTCTTGCTTGAAATGCAGAGAAATGCACTTTCATGAATTTGGTGACTGGTTTGCTAATACGAAGTTTCAAAATCCAGGCTTTTCTTCTAGACACTTCTCCTTTCCCATCTTTGTTTCCAAATAAACTCCTGGGTCTGTTTCAGGGGAAATATGTGGAAACTCAACCCTTTGTCAGCATCTTTTTTAGCCCAAGATTTGCACTGAGGAATACAACAGTAGTGATTGGAGGTCATAATTGAATGTATCTGATATAATTTAGAATTAATAATTCACCAACACGCTTTAAAAACTCAAAAACACCTCAAAAATATTCACACAAATACAATGATAAACAATAGAATAACATATCACAATGTACTAGAAACTAGTTCCGTAATTTGCCGCCAGATAGAGTACCGCTTATCTTGAAATCCCAATAGAAGCTATGCAGATAGGTCTTCAAGTGGCATAGAAGCACTTACAGAAGATGGAGAGTTACCAAGCTTCACAAGTTCAAAAGATACAATTTCTGTCTTTGTTTGTGAAAATTACTATGCGGTTTTTTATGACACTTGGTATATTCGATGTGTTCTAGAAATTTTGGATCAAGAAACCTTTAAAATAAAGTTCCTGAAGTCTGAACTTGAGTATGTTTGGTCCAAAAAAAAAAATTGTGGTTTTAAATAAAAATTAAGCAGTTTTAGTAGTTTCAATTTTTTCAAGTATTTTTTTCGAAACCTTCCGCAGCCCTGCAATAATCATTTTGCAGTCCCGCAAATTTTAGTCAGATTATTAAATAAATTAATAAATAAAAATCACGTGATTGAGAACGCTCTGTGATTGGCTAAAGCCGATTTTGACATTTTTGTTGCCACATGTAGAAATGAAAATTTAAATGAGTTAATAAGGATTATACCTATCCTTTATTTTTGTATACTGTAGTAAAGGATGAAAATAGTTTCTAGCTAGTGAAATATGTAATGATTTACTAATGAGAAATTTGGCATCCTTGATTTTCTGGTGTGTGACGTTACACACCAAGTTCATTTTTTCACGCCAGTTTAAAAATTCGATTTTTAAATATATTTTTTTTCAAAAATAAGCGTTTTTTTTCGGAAAAAAAGTATACAGATGGTATTAGAATGACTAGAAGAATAATTTAAAAATGTTTTTGAAAAATGTGAAAGTGGCCCAGAAATCATATAGTCCTCAGTACATCACCCTAAAATTTTGTAAGTCATGTACGCGCCAAACTTCCTGAGCGGCTGCATAACACCAAGTCGGACAACTTTGTTCATATCTGCATTCTGCAACCTGGGCAATGGGACATTGTCGCGCTAGCTCTTCGTGAAGTTGTCATTCTGACGTCCATGAGAACGGTGATACATGTATGTGTAGTTTTAATTCCAATTGACTGTTTTGTATGTTATGTTAACGATATCACATTTGTCGGACAGAAATCTCGTGGCTTTGGGGGGGTCCGACGCTTCTAACAGTAACATGTTAAGAGTGTCGGACCCCCTCAATGCCACGAAATTTTTGTCCGACAAGTGTGATATTGTTTTTATAACATAAAAAACAGTTGATAGAATTAAAACGACCCGTACATGAACAAAATTGTCCGCTCAGGAAGTTTGGCGTGTACATGAGTTACAAAATTTTAAGGTCGATGTACTGGGGACTAATAGGATTTCTGCAATACGTGTACATTTTTTAAAGGAGTGGTTTGCCCCTTGCAACTTCTCAGACATCTTGTAACTCCACCTCTCAAATGTTAACGACATAAATAAACTGGTGGACAGTTGCTTTGCAACATGGAAAATTTTACCCAAATTCAAATCTCGATATTTTCGGAACGGAAAGAGATATCGAGTTGCGGTATTCGGGAGGTTCTTCACCAACTCTTTGAGAACACGCACAAGGTTTGACCGGTATATTTCTTTCATTTGTGCACTTATACAGGGTGAGTAAAGGAAGTCATGTTTTTTTGGCAAAGTTTGGGGCTATGCCAGATTCTCAATTTTTGATCTTGGAAATTTTTATATGCATCTTTTTGATCTTTGGACTATCCCAAAAAAAGTAATTTCTCAAATTTTTCAAAAGTTGGCTATAACGCAAATTATCGAATTTTTAAAAAAGGGTTACATTTATCCCTAAAAAAGTGACTTTTTCGGGGTTGCGCTTGAGAATGGGTATTTTTTTCTCATATTTTTGCACAAAGTAGAATTTCTTGGCCCCAAGAAAATATTAAAGCACTCATTGAACGTATTGCTTACAGTGGCGTGCAGAAAAAAATTGCTTTTGACAATATGTTATAAAACCGAATTTATATAAATTATACTATGCAATTAAACAGCTTAATGAACAAATCCAAGTTACTATACTCTTTATACAGGAGTTTATTCCAGTGTCCACCCCGTTCGTGTTCCTGTTTGCTACAATTTTGCGGCGGATGCGGCTTATTTGGCACGTTGCTTCATGTGTTCTTGTGCTTAAACATGCAGGATGAGTTTGCTTGGATCATTTAAACATTTTCAATGTGGTGAACAAATTTATCGTGCTAACATCTTAGAGGAAAATGATATAAAGCGTTGGATAGAAGAGTATGATATAACATATACGAATTGGAATGTGATGTCAGCAAAGAATAAATTATACCAGATTCAAATGCAGGTTTGTGTTCAATGTCAATTCAATGACGTAGAATCTTCTTGAAGAATCTTCTTGGATACGAATAGACTAGAAAATACATTTTTAGATATGTTATTGTATGCCATCATAGGGCTTACAAAAAAGTGGATCAAGGAAATAATGAAAAAGGAAAATCAGCAGTTGAGTGCCGAATCTAAGGTCAAAATGTTATAAACAGTGCTGAGCATCAGGTCAGAATGTAACCATGCGTTTGGCACGGTTTTTATATTAAATCAGCTGTCCACCCCTTTCGTGAAATTTTGCAGCGGATGCGGTCTGTTTGGCACGTTGCTTTATGCGTCCTTGTGCTTTACATGCAAAATTAATTTGTCTGAATCATTCAAACACTTTCAATGTGGTGAACAAATTCACCGTGCATTTTAGAGGAAAACATAGTACTGAACAGTGAACGAAGCTGTTCAGTTCATGTGCAACAAGTGAATAAAACTTATGTTCGCTGATTTTGTGCCGCGCTGACGGGGCAACATTCCAACCTGCAGCTGGGCACTATTTAACATTTTGACCTTAGATTCGGCACTCCACATACCTGTTGCTACAGAACCATTCGACCTGATGCTCAGCACCGTTCAACATACCAGTACGGATTTCGGCTCTCCGCATTAATTGGCGATTCGAATTCAAACGGACCAATGAAATATACGTAGGTGCCGAATCCTATACCGGAATGTTTGGATGCGGCCAAATCCGTCTATCATAGATTCAAATGAATCTGCGTCCACTTTGCAATTCCATTTTAATCTATGGTAGACGGATTTTTGCGATGCGATCCGCCCCGAACTGTTCCGCTTAGTGACGCGAACCTCAGAAGGTATCTACCAGTTTATCGCGCAGCAATAACGGTATCTCCTACAACACTGACTATTGTGTATAAGTAGGTCTCGAATGAACAGCAGTGTAGACCAGCATCAGAGCATTTTGAAAAATACGAATTTTTAAGTTCTTCCCACCAAACCAAAAGATGCTCTTGGTGTTACGCCACTGGAATAAACTCCTGTATAAAGAGTATAGTTACTTGGATTTGTTCATTAAGCTGTTTAATTGCATAGTATAATTTAATTTATAAATTCGGTTTTATAACATAATGTCAAAAGCAAATTTTTTCTGCACGCCACTGTAGGCAATACGTTCAATGAGTGCTTCAATCTTTTCTTGGGGCCAAGAAATTCTACTTTGTGCAAAAATATGAGAAAAAAATACCCATTCTCAAGCGAAACCCCGAAAAAGTCACTTTTTTAGGGATAAATGTAACCCTTTTTTAAAAATTCGATAATTTGCGTTATAGCCAACTTTTGAAAAATTTGAGAAATTACTTTTTTGGGATAGTCCAAAGATCAAAAAGATGCATATAAAAATTTCCAAGATCAAAAATTGAGAATCTGGCATAGCCCCAAACTTTGCCAAAAAAACATGACTTCCTTTACTCACCCTGTATAAGTGCACAAATTAAAGAAATATACCGGTCAAACCTTGTGCGTGTTCTCAAAGAGTTGGTGAAGAACCTCCCGAATACCGCAACTCGATATCTCTTTCCGTTCCGAAAATATCGAGATTTGAATTTGGGTAAAATTTTCCATGTTGCAAAGCAACTGTCCACCAGTTTAGTAACCAAATATCCTGTTGACATTGTATAAATCGTGTATTCTCTGGCTCCTACTCCCGGCTCCTATGAATTGTTTTACCTTCCCTTAGTTGTAATTGTTTATAATTAATTTATTGGTATACTGTATACTTAAATATGAATCCAATATTTCTGGACGTATGGAAATACTATGTGTATGAGCATTGATAGAGTTTGTTTATGTTTACCAACTCAGATCTTATTTCTGAACATTTAAATATATTGTGTTGTTCAGTGGCAGATATTCTATTTTCCAATATAAATTCAACAGTTGACGATTTCTTGGGAATTTGTTTATTCTCAATGTATTTTATTTTTATCCGACTGATATTCAACAAATTGGATTGATTTTTACTAAAATAAAAAATTTGAACTGGATATTATAGTATTATTTATTAATTTTCGTTTTCAAGATATGGCAAATGAATATAGTAAGAACGGGTGCAGTAGTTCAAGAACTTGTATCTGACCTTACAAAACATCAACGAGCAGTAAACTGTGTAAGATGGTCTACAACAGGAAGATACTTGGCTTCAGCGGATGATGACGGTAATATTGTCATTTGGCAACTAAAAACCGATAATATACCATTATTAGAAGGTAATTTGATTCATTATTTAATATACTCCTTGTAAAATTAACTTGTAATTTAGGCGACACAGGTGACAAAGAAATTTGGAATGTATTCAAAATAATGCGCCATAATGACGATGTCTATGATATTTGTTGGTCTATAGATGAGACTAAAATCGTTTCGGGCAGCATAGATAATACTGCCGTTATATGGGACGTCGGTAAGGGTCAAAGGGATCATATAATGTCAGATCATAAGGGATTTGTACAAGGAGTTGCTTGGGATCCAAAAAACCAGTTTATAGCCACTATTAGTACTGATAGAATATGTAGATTATTTGATGCATCTGGGAAACATGTAAAAGCTAGGATACAGAAGGGAAAATTAGCCTCAGGTATTTTCAATTTTAGTTAATTTAAACCTAATATGCTAATGATTGTTGCTTTAGTTCCTGAAGGCCACTTTTTAAAAAATCAAGAAGCTAAATATTTTCATGATGACACCTTTAAATCATTCTTTAGAAGATTACAATTCACCCCAGATGGTTCTTTGCTTATAGTGCCTTCTGGGCATATCGAAGTTGAGAATTGCAAACCTGTAAATGCCACTCTAATATTTACTTTGGACAATCTTATTAGGTAAGTTTTGTTTTTTGCTAGATCAATTTAAGACAAATAATTGAATGTTTTTTTTCAGTCCATCCATTATTCTTCCAATTCCAGTGCAAAGCAGCACAGTGGTAAGAGTTAGCCCAGTTTTATATAAATTACGTGAAGATGGGCCTGATCCTGTCATAATATTGCCTTATCGTATGGTATTTGCAGTGGGGACTGACCATGACATTATTTTATATGACACTCAACAACCTCTGCCGTTTGCAAGGTTTCAAGATATTCATTATACTAGATTGACTGATCTTACTTGGTCTCTAAATGGACTGCTGCTTATAGCCTCATCCACTGATGGATTTTGCAGCTTGATTACATTTGAAGAGGACGAAATTGGAGTGCCTTGGACAGCAATGGAATGTGAAACTAAAGAAAATGTTTTGGAAATTAGCGGCCTGGAGGAATTAGATAAAGATGAAAATGTTGATACGAATAATAAAGATGTGGAAAAAGTGGAGGATGTTAGGTTGGAGACTAAAAAGAGGACCAGTTTTTTGGAACAGTGGGCTTTGAAAACGCCGAAAAAAATTAAAATTGGTGAAAATGATGAAAAAACTATTAAAAGTGATATAGAAATGTTGGAATCTCCAGTCAAAGACGCTCAGAAAATTGGGGTTGATAAACCTGCGGAAACGATAAATAAATTAATTCCCAGAAGAAAAACACAGAATTCAGAAGAACAAATAAATATTTTGGTACCAAAAAGAATCAAGCCTACCTTTATTGAACCAGTAGCCAGTACATCAAAAATACATGACAGCCACAATGAGGAAATTACAATAAGTGATAGTGATGAAGGATCCTCAGAGTCTGAAAAACAATTAAGTCAAAAAGAACAAGAAGAATATGACAAAGCTGCAAGAAAGATTAAACAATTTTTTTCTAAAGAACCGCTCAGACTTGAAAACAATAGACAGATTGATTCCACACAAACTAAGGAAAAAGTTAATTTACTTGTTCCTAGAAGAATAAAACCAATATGTGTTGAACCAAAAGCTGTAGAACCAAGCACAGAAATGCCACCTAAAAATGATGAAAATAAACCTAGTGATGCCAAATCTATTGCAATAAGAACAAAAGCTAGGAAAATGGAAAAAACATCTCTAGTAAAAAATTCTATGGCTAATAAAGACAGTGGTGCCAAACTTGTTGCAGAAACATCTTCAAAGGTAAATTCAAATGAATCCAAAAGTGTAGAAAGTTTGCCTAATAGACACAGTGACCTAAACCTGATTGAAGTGGAAAAAAAAGTGATAGAACCAAAAATAAATAAAGACAAAGAAAAATCTAAAGATAATAGATTGATCGAAAAATCATCACAAAAGACTGCCAGTCCTGAAAAACCGAATCTCAAATTAACTCCATCTAAACAAAAAGTTGATGTAAAACCAGATGCAGTTATAAATTTGGTATCCGATGAAGAAGAAATAATCACTACCCCTAAAAAACCAAAAACACTGAAACCAACTTCCACAAAAAAAGTAACGCCTTCAGGAAAACAAAAAACTACCCCCAGAAAGCAAACTTCGACCCTATTGAATTTCTTGCAAAAAGCTGAAAACTCCCCTAAAACAAATAAAGAGAAAAAAGTAGATAAAGTTGAGGCCGTTGTTAAAGAGACATGTGACAATAAAGTAATACCAAGGTTGCCAGTTGAATTACCTGCTGAGTCATGCGATCAGGAGCAAGAAGCCAAACTTTCTAAAGCCAGTGAAGAAAGTAGTGACATAAAAAAAAGTCTAGAGAAAAAAAACACTGTCACAGAAATTAATTTAGTTGAAAGTAAACAAGAAGAAATTAGTGACCCAAAAAAAGTTGAAAGTAAACAGGAGGAAATTGATGACTCGAAAAAGAATTCAGGTGAAAGTAAACAGGAAAAAACAGCTCACACAAATGAAAATGTAGTTCAAAGTACACAGGGAACCCCCAGAGCACCTAGAAGGGTGCCTATCATCACTTTGTCAAGTCCTAGTGGAAAAATTAAGAGAAAAATATAAGATTAAATTTTACAAATCTTTGCAGTGCTATCATTATGTAGTGACTTTTGATAAAAGTTTTCCATTGCTGTCATGCTTTTTATGTGCTATTCTTGAACGCTTAGGGCACTCCAACGAACAAAATAAATATGGCTGCTGCAAGATAAATAAATACAAGTTCACCATTCATGCTTCTGGAAATTTGAAGGACCAAAATATTTGTTAATTTCGTTTCAAATAGAACTAAATAGCATGAAGTATATGGACAGCTGGCTTGTTTCTCTTGCTGGGGTCATATTTAAGTCGATTTGTTGGGCTGCCCGATTTGTATGTCATAATTTAAGTCTATTATTTTTTTCCTTCTTTTTTAACGTGTTGTTTTTTCTGTACATAATTTTCCTGTGATAGTTCATAGGCAAATACATATTCTCTTCTAAAATCACTAAGTTGAAGGCTTGTTAATTTGTATTATTAAGAAGTTTATTTAATCTTGCTCTGTAATTTATTTCGTTTTTCTTTTGTATAGAATTTTCCTGTGATCAGTTCATAGACAAATACATATTTTTCTACACTGATATTAAGTATCACTTCTAATTGCTCACAATTTTTTTATTTGAGTTCCTTTAGACCATAAAATGGCTTCATTCATCATGACTCAGCCGTCAGCATGAAAATAGCTATTTGTGTATTAAGAGCGCAAAGTGGTACTTTGCCAATCAAAAGATATTGTCGACGCGCGACGCCAGAACACTTCTTTGCCGCTCTCAAGTGGCACAGGAAACGCCTACTTTGCCATCATAAATCTAATCAAAAAAGCCTACTTTCTAGAGCGATTGTAGGAAAAAGAGTTTTGTATTCGACTATTGCTTTCAAGTGGTTATGGGCTCTTCCACTGAAATTTAAATAGATAATTTAAACATAAAATTAAACGCGGGTATATTTTCCAAAAGAAAAATTCATAAGTTTAAATTAATTCTTGTATGTACAGGGTATTCCACTGTTCCAGATTAGATACTTTCTTATGGAAACACCCCTTATTTTTAGAGATAGAAAAAAAATGGTCGCAGGTATCTAGAGCTCAAATTTAATGAGCAAATGGCAGAAACCAAGATTATTTGAGAGAGGTTGGTTTCCTGATAACTTTATGAAGTCATCCGAGGTGTCTCAACGTAATGCAAATCTCCATGAGGCACCTCAGATGCGTCATCAAGTTACCCATTACCAGACCAAGGTTCCTAAAGTTAATAAGTTGTCTGGTAATGGGAAACTTGATGACGCATCTGGGGTGCCTTATGGAGATTTGCATTATGTTGAAGTACCCCAGATGACGTCATAAAGTTATTAGGCAACCTGCAACCTACCTCTCTCAAATAATGTTGTTACCTGACAACCTATTAACTTTAGGAACCTTGGGCGGTAACAAAATTTTGCTATCTGGTATTAAAAAACTATTTTGACAAAAATAAAAGTTAACTTCTGGAATGACGAATGACGTCACATCTCAAGTCTTTCCAGAATAATCCAGAAGTTAATTTTTAAGACCGATTCACACTTTGGATAGTAGCAAGTGCAGGTGTGTATTGCTGGAGTGCGTTCAAAGACGACAATGCTAATGCCAAAACCTACTTTTCCCCTTCTACCGGCAATACCAAATCTGATGTGAATTTGCTGGAACGCCAAATACCGTTTCTCAATTAGACAATCCAAACCACGTGACATTCAAGATGGCGTGGCGCCCACACATGGACGAAAAAACAAAAAAATATCTGGTTTCTGCCCAACTCAATAGTTTACGTACGTACAAATATTTTATTGAATAATCAAAATCAAAATTGCAAGCAAAACTCGAAGCAAAATAATTAAAATATGCATGAAAACACATATTCAAAACTAACTTGCTGGTCGCCACGCCATATTGAATTTGGTCTCATCCAATCAAAATTCGTATAACCATTTCTAGACTCAGTTAAAAGCACCTTCAAAAGTTACTTTACCGCGGCCGATTCTGAACGTGTAAAGCCAACCGTTTTTTGGCACGCTGGAGCCGAACTTGAACGCAATATGCCATTTTTGGCTTGGCTTTAGCCATTTTTGAACGCAGCCCTGCTAGTGTTTAGTTGTCAAATTGTAAACGGATCTGTCAAGTGATTTGTGTCAAGAAGGATAAATGTAGTCTATGGATAAATGCAAGTAAATCAAATCGTGTTCTATTTTTCTGTTAAGTAATACTTTCTATGGTAACAGATGCAAACGAAATCTAAAAAAATTGTTGTTAAGTAATGGAGTAAACCAAGTAGGCATAAAGCAAAAGCCCGCGGAATCATAACCTGTGGTGCAAACACTTTACATGAAACGACATGCTTTTACGTCACAACTGGTGATTTGGCGTGTTGGGGGGCTTGAGGTTTGATCTACACAGGCCTTATGAGGTTAAGCTATCGTGTAGTAGTACCTATTGTGTATTATCCTTGCAAGCACTACGTCAGGCTAGAAACGAAACGCTGTCTACGTCATCACTGGTACTTTGGCGTGGTAGGGGGATTGAGGTTTTTATTAATTAACTAATCGAAAACACAAAAATGTATTAATAATATCCAGAGATGAGTTTAGACCGGGTTTTTTGGAAAAAACCCTAAAAACCCTTTGGAAAGAACCGGTTTTTTCGAATAACCGTATTTCAAAAAACCGGGTTCATTGAAACTAGAGATGCCACGAATAGTGATTTGGCCGAATACCGAATATTCGGCCACGCTCTCGTTTGCAGCGCCGAATATTCGGTGGCAGATCTGTGGGTTTTGTGCGTTAACAACAGGTTGGGGTCGTATTTTCGAATTCATTCGAGTAAACTTCGTACACGAAATTTGACTGACAGCAATGTAAATTAAATAGGGAGCATTCGAAGTCGTATCAAATTTCGTATGCAAGAATATTCGAAAATACGACCCCTAAGACCTGTCTCATTCTCATCGCGTCGCCTCCGGTAACGACGGAATTTGGTTCACTTGAGAATATATGGTGTCACAATACGCAATTTTACGCATATATTAGCTATATTCTTTTGATCGCACGTTATTACTTATACTTATACTACTGTTTATCTGTAGCCAAAGTTATCAAAATAGCATCAGTAATTAATAAAAAGCCGCGTATCTGATAGATTTTAAGTATTATGGCTTTTCCGATTGGTAGATTCAGTGCGCACTGACTGAGTGTATTTGCATCCTTTCATTCGACCTGTAGAAGAAAAAGACAGAAATAGAAAAAATTGCACTAGCTCTGCACTAGATCTACCAATCGAAAACGCCATTAGATTCATTGTGTGACTTGTTATTAATAGCCGTTTCCACCAACTATTTTAGGGAAGCCTTAACGATAAGTATTTCCTAAACTGACAATTTTCCATGGAGAAATGTCAGTTTAGGGAATACTTATCGTTAAGGCTTCCCTAAAATAGTTGGTGGAAACGGCCATTAATAAGATACATTTTTGAGTAATATGTGCGTTTTTTTTTCATTATTCAGCTTTCGGTATTCGGCCAAATATTCGGCCGGATAATACTATTCAGTATTCGGCCGAATACCGATGTCAGTAGAAAAAGTGTATTATTTAGTAACAAAGATGCCTTCTAGTAAGAAAGCCTGGTTTTGCATGCAGTGCTGAAGGAACTAAATCACACCTCACACCTCTTACCCTATCAACCCTTAAAATGAAGAAATATTTATTTTTAATTATGTAATGTTTTAAAAAAATAAAAACGTATATATACTTGTTTTGTTTTTTGTACTTTTCTGTTTGAAATTGCACCAACCAAATATTTTCGAGTAAACTTGATTAGCTATTCTACATAAAAAGAATTAGAGGATCCACTTTTTCTAGTATAAAAATCCTTAAAAATACAAGCATTTTTGATTTTATCAACTTTATTGAAATGGTATAATATTCCTTAATTACGACAGAACTAGAAATAAACATCTATTTTCGGATCTTCAATAATACCACTGAAGATCCGCATTTTCGGACCCCTAATATACAAATTGAAAATCCGAGAATTATCGGAACTTTAGTATGAACACTAGAGATCCGAATTTTCGGATCTCTATCCACTGCCATACTTAAATGAAGAAAAGGAACATTTTCTCGAGTATTCATGGTTTTTATTGAATTTGAGATAAATTATTGAGAGCGTGGGCACCCCAAAACAAATTTTGCCTGCTGCGCAGTGGTTTGGTTACCTCACCGTAATTCATTTGATTTTTTAGCCTCCTCACTTGAAATAGTCACGAGCCGCCATGCTTACAGCATAAGGCTGATTGACAGTTTACGGTGGGACACCCTGTATAAGATTTCCATCATAAAAAATTGAAAACAACGTATGTGCATAATTATAGTCATCGAATACGTTGTTTTCAATTTTTTATGATGGATGTTCTATTCATATTTAAAAGTAGTGAGAGGTTGGGCACAAAATGGCGGCGTTTTCCATATGAATATATAGGATTTTGAAGAACCAATAAAAAAACGCCACTGTGGTAATAGAGTCACTGTAATCCGTAACGCCGCGCTTGAATCGGCTCGTTGAAAAGAATATATATATACCCAGATAACACCCAACATCCGATGGATATCCATTTTAGGTACAAAATATGTACAGATGTCCAGGGACATTAAATGGACATCCAATGGACTATATTTTTTGGACAATAACTGATAGCAGCCAGAAACGGATATCCAATGGAAATCCATTAAGTGTCCACAAATGTTTCTAAAAATCGTGGTCATAAACTGGACATCTAATGGACTATATTTTCTGGACAAAAACTGAACCACAAGAAACGGATATCCTCTGGAAATCCATTTATCGTCCACAAATGTATATAAAAATCATGGTCACAAACTGGACATCCATTGGACTATATTTTTTAGACATTAAATGGACAGAAAGGAACGGATATCCATTGGAATTCCATTTAATGTCCACAAATGTAAATAAATATCATGGTCTTGAAATGGACATCCAGTGGACTTTTTTTTTGGACAATTACTGAACTGCCAGGAATGGATATCCATTGGAAATCCATTCAGTGTCCATAAATGAACCTATAAATCGAAATAATTTTGTGATGCATGCATGGCATAAACTCCTGGGATGTCCAATGACTTTCTAGTGGATAACTATTTAGTGAAGTACTTATATACAATCAAAAATGAATTTTCAAATATTTAATTTATTAATAAGTTGTGGTAGGTAGGTATTAGTGGTCCATTTGTGAAATTCTGTCTAAGAAATTAGTCGATAGTACAGTGGTACAGTCGATAGGAGCGCTACGGAGTCACCCAATTAAAAGGGATAGAAGTTAACGTGACCGAGCGCCAGCCAATCAGGGCGCGGCATCTTGCGTTTCGCCATCTGCGCGGCCAGCCAGCACTCCAGCAGCAGCCATTACTCCTTCATGCTGCTGCCTGCTTGAACGATACACTCTACCGCTGTATTCGTACGCAACAACGGAATTATTCTACTTTAAAAATTGCCAAAAAACAGGTAGTTGTTCGTTTCCGCCTTTCAGAAAATCAGAAT